AGGATTCGCATCCTCGCAAATTTGAAATAAACCGTAGAAATACGCCATAGATTGGAGGCTGCAAAGACGAAACAGCTGCAAAAAGCAGTGTCCGCTGTTTTCTGAGAATAGATGCGGTGGAAATCTGCACTTCATTTTTTTGGTTCTGCGTTGCGTCCAGCGACCTTAATCGTCAGCGGATACCAGTGCACCAATGATCCTATTGCACCAAGTGCCATCCAGATATACAGAATTAGGATTGAATCTAATAGGCTGAATATACAATCTACTGACTTAATCTATTCAATTCCCTCGACTCTGGACAATTTCCGGTCTCCAATCACCGCTCCATGGTCGCTCTCACTAGGAAAAAAAGGGCCAAATAACACGTGTTCAAACGTGTACAAAGTTTACGGGTTTGCGTTATTTTTGTGTTCTCAGCTTACAGAGCTTTGATGAAACGTGTTTTATGTGTGTTCGCAAAAGTGTTATTTGGCCCTTTTTTTGCTAGTGTCTGTTGATTTCTCGTCTCCTGGTGTCAGATGCCTACCCCCGAGGAATATGACGCCGATCGCACAGCCACACCCGCGCAAACTGGCCCGTTTGGCCATTACAACCACTTAGATGACGCCATCCTCGACCATCCCGTCACAAGGACAATGTATGTGAGGAGGCTGCGCACTCTCATGGACCAGTTTCTGCAGGGAAGACTCAGGCAGGTGGGTGACTGGCCATGCAATATCTGGCAACCGTATGCCCCATTTCTTTGAGTGCACACGCTTTTTGGAAACGAAATCTGCACTAGTGCTTTCGTCGAGATATGCGAAAGTGGTGGAACACTGCGCTTGCATTGTTCGATTGGTGTCGGCAGAATTTCGTTGATCTCGTTTTGGGGAATAGCCTATTTTTCATTTGTCTCACACCGCAAGCACCGGCAGAAAACGTCATTTTTGCGATGCCAGCTGCGATGCCATTCTGACACAAATTGATGCCATCGCAGCCCTTTTTATGCCATCGCACTCACTGTGACGGCATCAATTTGTGTCAGGATGGCATCGCAGCTGGCATCGCAAACATGACGTTTTCTGCCGGTGAAGGAGAGTTGTGCATCGCGCCCTCGACACACGTCACAGAACCAGTTTGGTACATGGCCTCTGTGCTCCTCCCCAATTCAAAGTGCGCTGAGACGCTCTGTGTACTGGCTAATGGAAGATCATCGACAGCTATTACAATCTTGTTCGCGAAGAAGCCATCACAGACAACAAACAGTGGGGCGTTACAGATGATGCAAATGCGATGGACAGAGGATACCAGTAAGTTAGAGATTTCGGTGCTTCGATCCGTTAATTGCTTTTGGATCGCTGCGGTGCATGCACTGCGCAGTGCCAGATATATCCCTGTGTTGTGCATTTAGTTGTGCAGATGATGTGCACTCCAATCGCCGCGGTCAGGAGATTGCAGGCTGCAAATGTGTTTGGAGATATACCAACAAGGGATGGAGATGCCTCGCGAGGCATTCTGGTGCTGATGTCCCCCGCTATATGTATGACAGCAGCCAAACACATCACCGTAATGTTCTTCTGAGGTTGTGCTTCGAATAAGTCTTTTGCCGACTGCAAATTCACTCAACGGGAACTGAACCTCGATCATTGTTCAATTTTTTTCTGGAGATTGCGTAGTGGTGAGCAATGTCGCATATAAGAAATTCGCCATCAACACCCCAGTTCTGGTCCTTCACTTAATGGAGATCTTGCTGGCTCGCGATCACTTGCCCTCTGGGCTCATTTTTCAGGAGCACGCACAGCACAGACCTGCATGCACGAGCTCTGCGCGTGACATGCAGTACACCGTCACTCTGGGTGGCACACCAGTGGACACTGGAGCTCCTAGAGTCCCTACTATCAATAATATATTGATATTAAAATAAAAATAATAAAATAATAAAAACATAATAATAGTAATAATAATAATAATAATAATGATAATAATGATAATGATAATGACGGGGACGGGGACGGGGACGATATAGATATAGATATAGATAGGTTTCTAATTGCATTTGTAGCACATGTGCTCAACTGTCAATCGCCAGCGCGTATTGGCGACGTTCAATTAACAACCATTCAATTTAGTAGCTCCAATTATGCAAGACGACTTTGATGTTTTAATGTATCAAAATGTTGAAAGAAAGCAAGACATGTGTTCTTGACACCTCCAGGCAGCTTACCGAAGAGCAGCTCCCCAAGCGGTACAGTCAATTGTACGACATCTATGGCCCCTCCGGCCCCGTCCCATTGATACCCGAAGCCCAGCCGAAGGCGCCGCAGATGCAGATTGCGGGTGTCGACACGGCGGCTGAGAGTCCACTGGAGCAGTACATTCAGATTTATAACCCGAACCAGTTCGCTGTTGATATGTCCTCATGGAAACTGCTGGGATCGGCGACGTACACTTTCCCTCCAGGTAAGCGCATCCATGATTCGATGACAAATGGATTCCATCCCATTCGACACGATATGCTATTGCACTGTAATACACTCACATGATAAGGCGCAATACGAAGTAGACGTGCAGCGAAAGACAGGCGCCTGTCAGCAAGGTGTTCCCTCCCGCAAAATTTCCGCTTTTGTGTGGACCAAAATAGAGTGATGGAAGCTTTGTGCCGGGAAGGTTTAACTCGTTAAAGTGGGCCGACCATTCGAGTGGCCATGAGCCGTTCGTTCTGGTATGTTGCTTGCCTTCGCGATCAGGCCTTTGCTCAAGCGTGGGCAAATTTCTAATTTTAAAGATTCCCGAGCATGCTATTTACAGGCGAGCGGGCTTCAGCTCGCAAGCAAGGTGTTTAAATTGAGATTATCCTTCCTATGCTCAAAAGTACTCGAATACCACTGCAGCCGCAATCAAGTGATACAGCAGCACGTGCAAAATCGCCCCATTTGAAATTAATTCTGAGACTGAAGCGCACCAGGAGTCTGGGGAGCGGGATCGAGAAGCGCTACAATGCACTAGGGGAAAAAGGGCCAAATAACACTTTTGCGAACACACATAAAACAGATTTCATCATAGTTTTACACGCCAATAACACAAAAATAACAAAAACCCGTAAATTTTGTACACATTTGAACACGTCTTATTTGGCCCTTTTTTCCCTAGTGATGGGGAGGAATCCCTTTATCGACGGTGATCGTCACAATATGCGAAGTCGAGATGGGCCGGAGTCGAGGAGGTGGCGACTTGGCAGAGCGCTCCCGTTCCCCTCATGGGTGCAGTGCGTTCTGAGTCGCTTTGGCAGGTAAAGTGTGAGTGAGATCAATACACTGGCTCGCAGGAACTGTCGCTTTGCCAGAAGGAAACATCCTGATATCGCCCAGCATTCCAGCCTTCCGGAATCGGGCCGCCTCCCCACGAGGCGACGAGGGCCACTTCGTGCTGGGCGCATATGTCGCCATCGACCCGTCGGGCCCCATCACTCTCACTCTGACCACCGCCTCTGGCGCCACAGTGGGCACTTACACTCCATAGGTCGAGGAGCAGGGTCGCTTGTCAAACGCCCACTGCACACAGTTTCTAGCCGTGCTCACAATGCGTTAGAATGGGGCCAGATTGCGTATGTGTTGGGGTGCATTCCATGTGGGATAAGATAGTGCTATCGTAACCTAGTTTTCAGTGCCAGTTTTTGGCAGGGTGCGACACGGGTTCAAATAACGTTTGCGTGATTGGAAGCCATGGTCAGCTTCTGATCTGGCCGACGGATTTTGGATGAGTTGTCCCATTACCTTCGCCGACCAGGATCGCGTGGTTGTAGTGGTGGACGGCTTATTTCGCGGCGCTCGTGTTGTGACTGGCTAGACAGCAGCATAGTGTACTACATATAAAACACAATGCTGATACGTTTCTATGGGCGGTATCTTTGAGATCGACCGAACCGCTTGAGCAGTGAATCAAGTTGGCTTGCTGTTGCCCATGGAAGCCAACGACGGCTGTCTATTGTCGGTGGCTGCGTAGCCACATTATACGTATATCGTACATGAGCTGCGGCCAGCTGGCGATCGTTTGAGGCCAGGCCAGATCACGGGTTGCACACACAGGGACGAGTAATGAACTTTCAGCAAGCGGGGCTGGTTGCTGGTGCGGCAGTTTTCATGCCAAGGCCATCGATTTCGCAACACTGTACAGTCCCTGCAGTGCGCCTGAAGGTGTCGGGCGCATTGCTGTGTGGCGGACCGTCAACAGGTTAACTTGGCACAGCAGCGTTGCTGTGCCACGGACTGCACTGCGGAATTGGATGGCACGTGTTGGCAGATATGTGGCACATAATTGGAATTTCACGTGCCGCCTATTGCAGCACAGATGGTGCGCACCAGGACATGCGACAGGTGGTTGCTTACTAAAGCGACACAGATTACTGGAAACGATGCGCCAGCCCGCATTGTGGAACTGGCAATTTCGCCGGCTGCTGTTTTTCTCCCAGCCTTGTGAAAATAATTTTCATTTTGTTCATTAAATTGCCATTTTCATTCACAATTTTCATACAATTATTGTAGACGGCCTGACTCGTTGAGCCGGCTAGGTCCATCCCATCGGCAGGGCACACAGGTGCGGAAAACCGTGACGAATAAGCGAATGACAGCTAAGAAAAGATAGAGTTTGAAAGGCGGGGAAACGGTGGATGTGTCCTAAACGTGTCGGAAAAGTGCGGTAAATGTATCGAAAAAGCATCGGAAAGTGCGCGAAGCCGAGCCTCGCCTTGCCGTACAACCTTCCCCGCAATCACCCCCCTTGCCCCCTAGACACGCACAAATTTCTTGCCCGGTGGCCCCTCCTCTCCGTTGGCCTCGCCGCGCGCCCCAGAGACTGCCGAGACTCCCCATCCCTCCTTCCGCCCCCGCGAGTGGCCACGTTAACTTCTAGCCGCCTCCCGCACCCAGGTCGCGGTGGCAGTTTGGCCTCAGCGCGCCATCCTTTGCCTTGCTCGGCGTCCCGATTGGTGGGCCACCGGGAGGGCGGTGCGGGAGGAAGCCATGTTCCCGGACGACGAAAAGTCCAAGACCTCGAAGGACTCCCTGGTGGCGGTGGTGCGATGGCTGAAGTCACGCTCACCGCGCGAGAAGACGATCCTATCCGTGGCCACCGGGATCTTGGTGGGTACCCGACGAGTGCCTATGGGTGAGGGTGAATTGTTGCGGCAAAAGTACTGGGCCTCCGATGCGAAATAACGAGCACACGACGCAGGAAAGTGCGACAGGCATGGGGGGCGTCCTTGGGCGGGCATGGGTGCGCCAAGGCGCGCTTGTTGTGCGACCCGTGTTTGACTCCCCGTCGCCGCCCGCAGGCTCTGTTCATCCTCTGGATAGTGATCGAGGACCACGACTTCCTGTTCGTGCTGGCCGAAACCTGCCATTTCGTCGGGATCGCGCTGCTGGTGTACAAGCTGTTCATTAACAAGACCTGCGTCGGTGGGTGGCAGGGGTCGGGGGTGGTGGTGCGGGGGGGCGGGCTCTGGTGGGTGGTGGGTGGTGAGGTTAGGTTGGGGAGGGGAAGAGAGTGGTTGACGGGCGTGCGCCATGCCGCAGGCGAGCGGTGGTGACGGTGGGCTGTGCAATGTTGCGCGTGCAGGGATATCGCTGAGATCGCAGGAGCTCACATTCCTGTTCTTGGCCGCCCGGCTGTACTGCAGGTGGGTCGGGGATTGCGCCAAGACGGATTTCGTCCCACCCACCCCTCACCCTGCCCATCTCAATAGGGCCTTCAGACTTGAACGTAGATTGCAGCGACCAAGTTGTAACTCACGCATGCTTGGCGCAGCCGCCGGATTCCGTCACTCTACGTGCCGCCCGCAGCTCACCCGAACGGCTTTTTCTGAACTGCTGGCCTTTGCAAAGGGGCTGCGTAGCCAGACACGTGTCCTGGGCCGGCTTGAGTGCGTTCTGATTGATTGGCGGCTTGATGGGGCGCAGCTTCATGATGGAGTACGACATCCATACGGTGCTGGACGCCCTGACGCTGGTGGCCACAGGCTGGGTCATGTACACGATGATGTTCCAGCTGAAGCACACCTACCAGGTTGAGTTGGACACCCTGATGACGGCCTACGTGGTGAGCTGTGGGGAGGGGAAGGGTTTCTGGGAGGGCGCCCATTTGGCAGAGAGGAGCAGGGCGAAGTGGGTGGTCCCATGGCATTAACAACCGCTGTTCTTTTTCCTGAAATTTTGAAATCTTTTCATGAACGTTTTCCTGAAACTTTGCGATGGTGGGAGGCCCGGTATCGATGACTGCAACTAGTTTTGTTTTGAAAGCTCACTTTACGGTCGGCAGGGCCACTCCATGTGGTGTGTGCATTCACCGCTGATGGGCTGATTGGGTCATCACTGTGGCTTATGAGGGTTTCAGATCTCATCAGTTGTTGTGAAGTGGTGGCCAGCATGCAATGTTGGGAAAGGGATTGAAAGCACATTGAGTGTATTGAGTGTGTTGGTTGCTGCAGGCCGGACCTGCCGTGTTGCTTGCTATAATCATTCATCCCTCGACAACTCACATTTGGATCCACAAGGTGAGCCACAGATGTCAGTGTGTTGGCGAAACTGTGGGTCACATATAAGGGCTGGAAATGCAGCTGCAACACATCCCCAGCTAAACATTCCTAAAGTCCATTGCTTGGACACCAGTCGACTTCGTGTATGAAGGCATGGAGACTTGCCAATGTTAATGAGCTTGCCTAGGAGGTCGATCAGTCGATGGATCAAGATTCAGATTCTGGACACTTGAGCATCAAAGGTCGCAGCGCCAGTAATACATAGAATCCAGCACTCTTCATTGTGAACCTCCCTGCCTGGTGGCTGTTAGAAAATGCCAAGTCCTGGAATGTTCAGTGCTGAAGAGCAATAGCTGGCACTACATTCCATGTGCCTGGTGTGTACATTGCTGAAGGGACTCCAAATGGATACAGGAATCTGCTTGTCGGCATCAGTGCATCGCGCAAGTTTGACTGACATGTATTCTAGTCAGTTCTGTGTAATTTGGAACTGCCCTCATGCCTGCAGCCGCATTAAAAAGGGAAGAACTGGTGGTCATTGAGGGGGGCTGTCATAGGAGGACTGTTGTGTAGGCCATGTGTTGCACACCCACATTCAGCCAGCGGATTTTTATGGCAGCAATGGTGCTTTTGATGCTGCTCCGGCCTTCTCTCCTCAGCTGCTTTCTTAGTAGGAGGGCAAAATAACAGAGACGCACCTGTGGTCCTCTTGGAGTGCAAAGCGATGCTCCTGCTGTTTCAAAGATTTAGGCTGTGATGTCCAAAGGTGACAGATGTGGTTTTTGGGACTCAAAATTGGTGCAGTGTCGCATTTCATGCTCCCTGTGGTGTTGCCAGGTGCTGTGGGCATCCTGCGTCTACATTGAGGCTGTTTCAGTGCTCCCACAGCTGCGACTCATGCAAAAGAACAAGGTATGCCCTTGTAGGCGTCATTTCGGTGTTATGGGCAGCGGCTGCATTGGACTGCATCTGAACATCATGTTTTGGCAGCATCTGTGCTCCTGTTTTTCTTTTTCTTTCTTGCCGATGAGTTTCTTTTGGCTATCTCTTCCTTCACAGGGCAATTAGAGTATGGGTGCCGATAGGGCCCTGTAGCGTATTGATGATCTTCTGCTGATGTGCAGGTTGTTGAGCGCTTCACTGGGCACTATGTGTTCTGCTTGGGGCTGTCTCGTTTCTTCAGCTGTGCACATTGGATACTTCAGGTATGCAGGTGCAAAATAACCAAAAGTCCATAGTGCAGCCAAACTTCTGTTGGATCTGTGCTTGCTGACAAGGTAGCTGACACCTGGGCTTTTATCCTGCTTGGATGCTGGGATGGTTGCGTAAGTCATAGGACTGGATATGCTGGATGCCTTGGTGGGGCTGAGTGAAGCAGTGACCAGCAGAATCGAATGCCAGTAGCAGCCTTTGGGCTGTTGATTATGCATTTTGTGGCACCAGGAGTCTTGCAGTTCCCGTATGGGTTGGTGACAATTGGGAATGTCCTGGATGCAGATCATGGATGGAAACAGTCTCTTAATGCACATCTGGGGCTATGGCCCCTGGCCACTCCTCGTCCTCCTGTCGGAAGTGGTGCAGACGTTCATTTTGGCCGACTTCTGGTGAGCACGTGGAACCTTTTCATCCTTTAAGCGATGTTGCCTGGCAAGTTGTTTGTTGCATGGTCCTATTCTTTCAGAAGTCACTTGTGCTCAGTCAGGTGTTGGGGCCTTTCCTACGGCGACTTTCAGCATTCCCACCAGGTGCCACATGGTGCTTCTTGATTTGATTCTGCTGGTGTTGAATAATGGCACACCACGCTTGGACGACGAGCAACTATCATGCCAGATGGCAGCCATTTCCCTGCCGTCTGCAGTAGCCAGAATTGGCAGCACTCTGGCTTGTTTCTTGACATAATTACTGAGAGCACACTACTCCAGTATTTTCTATCTCCAGCGCAGCTGCCACCAAGTCCCAGTAGCGTGTTTGCCAATGACGTGGTAAATGCATCCAGCAGTCTGTTTTGAAAATGCTGCAGCTGCTGGCCCATCTTCGTGTGCAGCAGGCTGTCGCTTTTGTAGTCTGATCCTCATCAATTGCAATCGTGATAACTCACGGTCCCTTGCACGTGTTGGGCGATGTGATGTGCTGTTTGCGTGCACAAGTGTGTGTTCCCACTTTCCACTCATTGGATCTGTGCTGTACCAGAGTGGGTGGATCTTTCCTGTGACAGATCTGTTGCAATGCCAGAATGGTGCAGCGTCCCATTTTGTTTGTACTGTGGATGTAGATTAGTGGTCTGGAATGTCCTTTGTGACTGAATTGTGTCTTGTTGGTTGGTTCTGTCCTTTTGTGCGTCGCCCAACATCTTGTCACAGCAGAACCTGTTTATTGAGCAGGGATTAAGAAGTTTGTGGACAAACCTCTACGCTGCGATTGTTCTTGCCACCGCTGCAAACGATGCAAGAGTGGTGCATGAATGATCAAAGGAGAGATATATGTCGGTGGACCGAGTTTATCATAGCGGAACAAGTTTCTCCTCCAGGGTCTGTCTTGGACAATGGAATTGCAGCAAGCAGAGTTGCCGTTTTGCACAAGACAGTGAGCAGCCCGTCACTGCCGTGCCTGGTCACTACCTTGAATATTAAGAGCAATGGCTGAATTTACTTTTGCGTCCGTGACAGCTACTACTACGTGAAATCCTACGCTCAGGGATCAGGAGTGGTGCGCCTTCCGGAGAACGTCGTCTGATTCGCCGAAACGCAGAGAGGATAGGCATCGTCGTGCTCCAAGGCACCATGAATCGTCGGGATTCAAGAGCGTGGAATTTTATTGGTAGCATGGAAACTGGGTGAGCGTAGGTGGCGTGCACACAAGCAACCAGAATTGCCAATGTCGTTGGCACACACAATTGGGAGTGAAAGAGGGGATGCAAGGCAGCACAACAGGGTTCCTATTGGTCAAGTTGGAAGGGAGGACGGACTTTTAAGAGTCGACGATTGGCACATCCTTAATGGTGTGCAGAGCTGGCCGCCACAATGTGTCGCAGGCGAATTTCCAATGCAAGGATCCGGTGCCACAGCCGAAAATAACGCGTGTGCACATTTCGCGTGGGCACCGAATGCATAAATATTTATGAATGTTTGATTTTGTGCACAATTTTGCGTCCAGAGGCGTTAGGAAAGCACAAATGTGTTGCAAAATCCGTGGCCATGCTCACTTCGAAATGCGATTACGGAAACCGAGCTTAGCTTGTGGTTGTGTCCTTGTTGGCGTCGAAAAGGTTACCACTGGTGAGGAATGGCGCCAAAAAGACTGTTAAGATTACGTGATTTGGACGCTCTTAACCACAGCTTACCGTTCTAATTCACAATTTCGGCAAATCGACATGGTTTAAACGCAGAATAGACTGCGCGAAATTGACCAAATGCTCCTCTGCACCAGCAACACTGTCACCCTGAACCTTCACCCACATCCCTCTAGGTCCAAGCGTGTCCTGGCCCGGCCACACGCCAAGGGCGCGATGCAAGGTGCCGCGATCTGAGCTCCCTTGAGCTGGCAGTGGGTACCCTATTCATGGCTCTTTTCGACATGATCCTTCTCCCACATGAATCGCACGGTGGGCAGCTCAATCGCAAATCTATTGACAGTGTCCTAGGCATTCTCTTTCAAAACCAATGCCCATGACTGTGCTTCCGCATTTACCGTATGCCACAGGGGTACTTTGTTGCGCCACGTGCCCCTTGGTTTTGACGTTGGCCTAGCACTGTCATTAGAGCGTCTCTACTTGGCAGGATCCATTGCAGCAGTATGTCCTGCCCACCCTTGGCGCCAAGTAATCACAAGAGTCTACATGTGGGTGGTGGGCTGTTTTGTCGTCTGGCAACGTGCCAGGAAGGGGGGGGGGTGGGGGGGTGGGGGGGGAGGGCAACAAACCGTGCTGCCAACCTGTGCTTCCTGGCGCATTACCGGCTTCCAACCAAGGAAGTCTCTTGAACCTTGTAGTTTTGATCTTATGTTTTAGTCATTTTGGGAACACAGATTACCAAAAAGGACGGTGGAAGCAGTAGTTAGCTGCCCCCACAAAGATGCGGAACGCCGGGCCGCCCAATGCCACCGCAGCACCCCAGGTGTTGGGCGGAAGGGTGCTGAAGGAGTTGGAGTACCCTCTTCCTACCCCTGGCCCAGGTGTTTTTGGTAGAGCGGTGGGACATCCCACCCAGAGGTACCCGGTTCGATCGCCAGTCAGACATCCGCTTCACCATCCGCACTGAAACACCAGGCCCCCCTTCGCGCCTCTCGGCAAACCTCCCCGTTAACAAATGTCACTGAAAACTGACGTGGCGGTGATGTGGCTGTCCGCTCTTTTAGGTATTAGGGTTAAGTTAGGTCTATGTTAGGTTTTAGGGTTCTTTGTTTTAGGTTTTGGGTTAGGTTGGTTTTAGGCTTTTTGCGGCTTTCTGTGGTTTGGTTTTTAGGTTTTCGGGTTAGGGTTTGGGGTCACCCTAAAACCTAAAACCGCGCAGCCAACGTCACTGCCACGCAAGTTTTCAGCGACATTATGGCGGGTGGCCTTGGCCAGTGACCCCAAGTCACGAGTTGGGCGGGTCCGCACCAGAAACTCCACAGCTCTGTTCCCCTTGTTTTGGCTCGCCGCGGCTTTCTGCGCCCGTTCCCGCCCGCAAAGGGCGTTCCAAGGGCCGACTCGCCCAGGCCCAGCGCCCCACCATCGAAGAACACTCCCAGGAATCGGAGCCTCGTCCCGGCGGCAAAAGGGGCCACCGCCGCGGCGCAGGCGCGATCCGTGGCCGCGCCAGTTCGCCGATGCCGCCAAAGATGCCCAACCTGCAGCTGCAGCTCGACGTGGAGTCGGAGGGCGCCGCGGAGTCGGAGCTCAACGTGAGGGCCGCGGACGCGTCTTGGATCTTGCGTTGGGTGGCTGCTGCTGGCTGGATGAGGGCGGCTTGTGCGCTGTACATGTTGGGGACGTCATTTGGTTTTGGTCCTTTGTTGTTTGGGTTGGACAGCACTGTCAAGGGGGCCATGAAGCGGAGGGGTGCCGTTCTGCCCGCGCACAACAGCAGCTGCCGGCTGGCGACACCCAGCGCACTGCCTCGTGTCCTGAGCCTGGTTGCTTGCATGCCATGGGGACGCACGCCCTCTCCTGGACCCGGGCACAGGATAGGCCAGCCGGGGAGGGATGGGCGGACCTTGCCACTTGCTGGCGTCGAACCTTGGCTTGGAAGTGTCGGCCGGGCGGTCAGTTTGCCTTGCGCCTCCGGCCGATCTCCAAGTTCGCTTCCGCTCCTGAGAACATCCCGTCTCATGCTCCGGAGGCGACGCGGATGCCTTTCGGTGTGCGCGTTCACCCTCGACGGTCGCCCAGCGCCAGTCGCCTTTCCGGAAGTGATCCGCACGTCGCCGCTCGCTTCCCTGCAAAATATGCGCGGCGCCTGGGTACAGCCTTTTCGTCGGAAGGCCGGGGGGGGGGCCCAAAACCCTCTGTGGTGGTCTGTGGCCCTGAGTCACTCAGGGTCAGAATAGTGCTCCTGGAGTGCCAAAGAGGCTTCCAACCACCTGGGCGCCAACCTGCTGCGCTCTTTTTCAACCGTTAAACAATGTTCACAGCTGATTCCAAAATGCTTGCATCAGACAGTTGGATGCGGGATTTTCAGTAGCGTACGGCCCTGCAGGCCTCCTTTGGCGTCGAGGACACTGGAACGATCAACGTGCTGACCAAGTCGCTGCAAAAGGTGTCGATCAACCGCTCGGGATTGACAAAGGACGACCTCCACTATAAGGTGCTTGCCCCTTGTGACGGCCGCAAAATAAATGTTGCGCCTCTGGCACTCCGGTGTCGTCAACTTGCATTGGAACTTTAATTATGGTGATCAGCAAATTACTGGAAATTTCTGCCTTCGACAATGAAATTTCGTGTTTTGCCTTCTTGCCGGAGGGGAATTCGATCCCAGCGTTCGTGGCGTTCCATCTTGGCTGAAAATTAGTGCAACATTGTTGGTGCATAATCACTGATGCAATGCTGAACAGCTGTGCAGCCACACGCATTCATGTATCATATGCATTTGTGGGCATGACTGCAGCACTTCCCTGCATTTGCAATGATGGAAACAATCTTATTATTTACGCCATAGACACAGCTAATATTTACGTTTTTACGCATGAAAAAATACGTAAATACGCCCCTGTGTACATAAAGACAGCTCATCAAGACTTTTGGCGTCCGGGATGCGGCAGCCAGACGCGCTGGAATGGGCTGAAAACGCACTTTTGTTCGACGACGTCTTTGCCCTTGCCAAGTTCCAGGTGGACGCTATGCTGCGTATGCTCGAGTGGGCGGAGGACTGATCGTTGCAAGACACAAGAATGGATGTATTTGTATGTACAAATGTGATGTATTCACGTTCACGAGACTTTCTCCATGTAACCTAGGTTTCCAGACGAGTTGTAAAAACGTAAATACAGCCATATACCCCCTTTTGCAAATTTTACGTTTTACACGTAGAAACGTAAACGTAAACGTAAATAACAAGCCTGATTGTAAATGCACCGACAATGCTGCACAAGCTTCTGTATAAATTCCTCATATTGACACTCATTATCCACTGCTGCTCAACAGTCATGGTCCTGCATCATTTTGGCTATTCGCCAAAAGAAAGCCACTGAGGATCGAGGTGGAAAGATCTAGGACTCGAGCGCTGTGGCATCAAAGTGCCTGCCTTGCATCATTTATTAAACGCCCTAATGCACATGATCAAACGGATCGGCACTCATGGTTGCAGAGCAACACTTCACAACTTCACGTGCAAGACCTGATCGAACGTTCAAAATGTCCATGGAAGATACGTTGCCTGTTCAATACGATGTTGGTCAAGGTACTGTTTTGCCATTCGATTACAGCAGGGGTCCCTATAGAGCGCCCCCTTTTTGGCTTGTCACCGTTTCTGTAGTATTTTATTTCACTGCGACAGACCCCAGCGCCCGCGACTTCGGCGCTTCGACTAAGTTGCTGGCACCAAAAGCCAGTATGGGCCCTATAGGCCGGGTGTAGCGTACCCCCTACACCGGCGGCCAACGTACAATCTTTTTGGCGTGCATGAAACCAACCAAGACCCGGCAGCCGTCCATGTTGAATTGATCGAAACATGAATCACGAAGCGCGTCAGGAGCAGAAATATCTGAAGCAATAAATACACCATTTTGTACTACTTCGTTTGCTACTTAGTACAGCGAGTTAGTACTTGTGGTGAACATACAAAGCTGGCTCAGAATGCTAAGTACTACGTCACGACAAGGAGCACGCGGCGCTATTGAACTTCCTGGCCATGCGCTCGCTTCACCCAAAGGATTTTATACTTCAGTTTTCACAAAACGGCAGTTTTTAAACCCATTTGCAGATATCTCAGGACGACGTCAAGATCCTGAAGCGTCTTGGCCAGGGAGCTAGCAGTGTGGTAAGATTGCTCAGTGTCTCTTTTTCTTTTGCAACTCAGTAGCTGGAGTGTTTTCACTAATTGGAAATTTTAAATAATTGAGCCCTGGCACATTACCGAGATGTCATTTCCTCTTGCGCATCGAGTGTGAATACTGTGCTAGTTTCCGTTCTTTTGGCATTTGAAGAGTTCCGTGCCCTCTCACAAAATACGGGAATTGTCATTACAATTCTTGTTTGTGATGGGTGTGGTCATTGTGTAACATACTGTCTTTCTGTTAAAAGGGGCTCCTCAGTGAAC